TGGGGGCATCTCGAAGGAGGAAAAAAAAAAGAAGAACAAAGTAAGGCGAGTAGTAAAAAAAAAAAAAAAAATCCATTTGGGAGGTTTAAAATTTTTGAATAAGAATCTGGTGATATTTCATTTAGAAGCATGAGTTTCAAAGGAATCTGATACCTCCCTCCCCGGGCCTGGGCAAATTGGCACTTCACAAACTGTTACTTCCAACACAATAATGAAGGCTGAATAGCATGTCATCCATCAGCATCTTTCATTAAAGTTGCCCACTTTCCCCTAAACTGAAATGAAGCCATGAAAAGAACTACCATCATCTATGAAGAAAAAGACACTCCCCTTTTCAAATGCCACCATAAAAGCTTAAGAATTGACTGCTCTGGCTTTGGCTATCTCAATTCTCAATATTTCACAAGTGGAATTTTTTCTCTATACTGAAAAGGAAAGTTTCTTCACACAAGGCATCAAAAACCCAGAATTGCAGTTCATAGGAATCTTGGAGACTAATTTCCAAATCCATAACCAGTGGAAACATACAAGGAACCAAATAATGAACCAATCATGGGAGGGATTTTAGGTCTATGATATTTCAACCATGTCAGGGATTCTTCTTTCATCATGTCAGGTAGAGATCAAATGGACAGGAAAAGACACGATCAGAGCCTACACAGCAAGGCATAAAGCATAAACACCATAACACCATTTCCTGTTCTCTGATTTGCTTACAAATATATCCAAACAGCTAACTAAGAATGCTTCTATCCTATCTAAGAACATATAAGTCAGTAAAACGGATTTGGGTTGGATTTTAGAGCATGCTTGAATTGAAAAACAAGCAGGAAAATTTGGTTAACAGGTGAAGAAATGACAAAAGATCTGGACAGGAAACAAAAACTGAGTGTCAGGTTAAGAGCCAAGAGATATCATATGTTGTTCAAGATAGATTACTTAATTAATCAACTGGAAGAATTATAGTTACTCTCTAGAAACATAAACAAGCACAAAAGAAACAGGTTATATCATCCAGTTAATTTGAATATAGCATTCCAATAAATCCATATAGAGCTGCAACCAATCCAAACAAGCCAAATTAAACCATAACTTGCTAACAATCCATTTTGCTTATCCATAGCCTATCTGCAGGGAGTATGAACAACAATAATTCGAATCAAAATTAGACTGAAATACAATTTCTCCTTCAATTTTCTCTAGAAGGAAAATCCTCATATTCCAACGAGAAGCAGCAAAAGCAGAATGAGAAGAAAAAAGTGTTGAGCCCTTGCCCCCTTGATTAATTATCAAGATGCAGACAGAAACAGAAAGGGGTCCCAGATGGTCAAAGAAACGAAGCAAAAGAGGTTTTACTTTCCCGGTTGTCCTAAATTTCTCCCCAAACAAAAGGAGGGAAAAACGATAGAGAGCGAGAGAGAGCGCTGGATGCAGAGGTTTATCGACCGGTTCGTGTTTTTGCGTTCGATTCATTACAAATCCCAAGAAGAGGTCGATGAACCGCTGCTTCCACTGACTCCACCTCCCATTCAATCAAGAAACGAAGAACAGATTAAAATAATAATAATAATGAAAGATCCAAATCAACAACGAACGGAAAAGGAAAGGCAGATCTAAAACACGAAAGACGAAAACGAGAGCCCATACGCATCTGAAAAGCTAAAGACTGTTGAATGAGAAAGAGGGGGAGGGGGAAGGGGCGAAAAATGGAAGCGTCGCCATTGCCATCAATTGTAATTTGGGGAGTTTGAAGAATCGCGGAAAGTGCGAGAGAGAGATGGATGTGTAAGGAAAGAGGAAGAACGTGTGGGAAATTGGGAGTGATTATAAAGAGGACGAAGAGATGGAGATGATTGAGTGGGGCGGTTTTGTCGTCATTTTCAGAGGAAAGTGAAATCAATGGCTGAGAATGGTCGGGGAAGGAGTCGCCGGCGAGATGCGAGAGGCGACGGCGGATTTAAGGCCGGAAGTAACGGACAGTCCAATAATTCTGCGTAGACGCCGGCTTTCGCTTTATGGCTAAAATCTAGATTCGGGTCCATGTTCTTTGTTTAATACGATCGTTTATTATATAATATTTAACATATTAAACATTAATTTGAATACTAAAAATCTTCAATAATACAAACTTAATTAATTATATTATTTAATTAATTAATTTCGATTCATAGTCATACATTTACGGTTGCACTCTTATGCATCATTCTAAGACAAGTTGTCTATGTTAATATAATCATTACAAGCAAGTCAATTATTCACAGATTATACGTAATTACAGATATATCAAAAGTTCATTTTACCACTATAATTACATATTTTACCTTAACTACCACTAACTTTGTACTGAACAATTTGTTTATGATCTAATCATAAAAAGTCCCTTTGGAATAGCGTGAGGGTGGAGCCTTATTGTTCATGTCTCAAAATCAATACTTGAAGAACTACTCATCTACCTACTCTACATGAGAAAGAGATTATTGCATCTCGTGAAATTATGTTTACAGCTCCTTATTTGGTTAAGTAGCTACAACAGTAGACATATTAAATAGGTTACAAAATTGTTCTCACCCATGCAAATCAAACGACAATCATCCACAGACAAAAGATCATAACTCACTCAAGATTAAGATCGAGTTGCATATGATCATCATATGAAATATTAATCTTCTCAATTAAGGGTTTAGAAGGAGAGATTAAATATTTCATGGTCCAGTTTTATACAAACTCGTTGTATAAGATAAATCCACTCACATGTCTTCATATGAACGATCCATATCAAATCATTATTAACACAATTACAAAGTAGGTCATATGAATTATGTCACTAGGATAATACACTCAACTTTATCCATATATTATAGGCTCTTTAGGTTATTACTTGAACATAATTCTTCGTATATGTCGTTCATTTTATTTTAATTCACATAATATAATAATTTAAAATATCAATATAAGTAGGGTGAGAATCGTGGGTTTTTATCAAGTATAGTAATGAATGAATTCGATCGATAATCTAGCGAGACGATATAACCTACCTGTTTGACCCTCAAATTCATCTTATCGATTGTCAAATCACACCATCAGTTATTTGGTATCTACTTTTCATTATCTAAAAGATAAACACGAACATAATTTAGATGCTGAAAGTTTAAGACGTGGTCAAAATTACGAACTTTACACATTTGGATTAGATTCGAGATAGATCGATGAAGAAGATGAGGGGACAAAAAAGGAAGAGGAGGTTCCAAGAAAAGGGGGAAGAGTTGAATGGATAAAATGATTTAAAAATAAAAATGAATAAATAAAAGCTCTTAGAGACAAAATCATGAAGCTTAGGTGTGTACCAAAAATAAGGCCCCACCGACCCACACGGTTTTCTATTTTTGAGACCGTACAAATCCCACGTCGCCACCGCCAGTTTTCTCTCCCAACTTCAAATAACCACCCTATTTCCCCCGCCATTCCTCTTCCTCCACCGTCGCCGTCGCCGCCGCCACATGTCACCGTTGCTTCCTCGCATATTTACATTTTCTCTGCGTCTATCAATCAATCGCATTGTTTCGGCATTGTGAAATCCCCTTCCAGATATGGCTGCACTCGCAGTTGAGCAGCTTAATCAATTGCGCGACATTTTTGCACGATTCGATATGGATTCCGATGGAAGTCTCACGATTCTGGAACTGGCGGCATTGCTCCGATCCCTCGGTCTCAAGCCATCCGGCGACCAAATCCACGTTCTCGTCGCTAATATGGATGCGAACGGTAATGGCTCTGTAGAGTTCGACGAATTGGTAACTGCGATTAGGCCGGATTTCAACGAGGAGATAATGGTAAATCAGACGCATCTTCTGGAGGTTTTTCGTTCGTTCGACCGAGACGGCAACGGATATATAACCGCGGCGGAGCTGGCAGGCTCGATGGCGAAGATGGGACAGCCATTGACGTACAGAGAGCTAACGGAGATGATGAAGGAAGCCGATACGGATGGCGACGGCGTTATTAGCTTCAATGAATTCGCCTCTATAATGGCGAAATCGGCATCTGATTTTCTAGGGCTTGCAATCTCTTGATTAGGTCAGTATCGTTTCTTAATCTTCGATGCCTTCGAAACTTGAAACTGTAATATAATTATCGAAAGTTTTCCCACTTCGATCTAATCTAATCTATAATCTAATCAGCCAACACCACCGCCGTGATCTTAGAATGTTGTAATAACCTAGTGTATAATCATCGAAACTATATGGACCTGATCAGAATGTGTTGTGATCTTGACAAATTATAATTTGAATTTTGATCTTGGTTTTTCTAATAAAAGATATTTTAAAGCGTCCCAGTTTGTTTTAGGAATTTTTTTTGTACTCTCTTGTTCATTTAATACCAACTTTTGAACTTATGAACTATCAATAATAAAATCAAAGTTCAATTTTCTTCGTCCTCTCTAAACAGAGGAAAGTGCTGAGAAATGAGTCTTAGTTTCCAAAAGTTCTATAATCATATTATTTTTCTATGAAAATGGGTTTTCGAAGAACCCACGTTGATGGAGGTGGAAAATGACCAAAACTCTACTCTAATTCAATTTCAACCAACTTTTAAATTTTTCTATGAAAATGGGTTTTCGAAGAACCCACCTTGATGGAGGTGGAAAATGACCAAAACTCTACTCTAATTCAATTTCAACCAACTTTTAAATGTTTTAGACCTCAACAAAAGAATTGACCCAACAATGACATGAAACGACATAGCTGATTCATATATTAATGAAATGAAGAAATCATATTAATGAAATGAAGAGTAACAATGGGATAAAAATGAAATTTGTCTAAATTTATCCTTGCTCTCCATTAATTAAAAAAAAAACATCCTCTATGCTTAAAAAAAACGTTCTCCATTCTTCTAAGTGTCAGCCGATCCTCGAACTATGCTTATAGATTCCAAGATGAGCCTGCAAATTTCAATACTTATGTGCAGGCATCGAAGCCCTCTGTCACAATTATTAGTACATTCTAAGGATTGCATTTATTCATACGATAGAATAGGATCATAGTTTTCTAAACTGAACTAGAAAAGGACTAACGAAGAGCCTCACTTGTCCAGAGGAAGTTTTGGAAATTGCAGCCTCCTTGTGCGTCCTGAAGAGTCTCATCGCACCCAGCGCCGAGATTCTCCATGAACATTTGTAACTAAACAAAAACCAGAAAAAGAAGTATGAGCATGATCCTTGCACAATTTAATACTGACCCGGAATACCAAGAACAAAGCAACATCTGAACTTCGTTTCTTAACTAAAGGCAACACAAGTTTGAATGATTGATGAATATGTCCCATAAACCTTGATAGTTTGACATCATGTACATTCCTAACTGGAAACGACAGCTTAAGTTAGTATTCTGGGAGTAGATCGGAGTTGCAGTTTACGAAGTGAAACTAAGAAAACAAAACTTCATTTTTCAATCTCTCCATCTATGTTTCTCTCTCTCAGATGCTGCTGTACGATCTTTTCCAGAGCGATGATGATCTCTGGGTGAAGAATCTCTATGTCTGTGCTTGTGATGTTTTGAGTGTTTTCTCCGGCTCTTATTCTCTTGAGAAGATCCTTTCTTTCTATTTCTTGATCTTGAGTGCTCTTTAGCATGATAATCACTCGACTCACTATCATCTGAGTCACTACTTTTATACCTGCGCCTCCTTGAGCGTTTTCTTCTCTTTTCATCTTCCGATGATGAGCTGTTGCTACATTCACGATGAATCTCAGCTCGCCCGTGATGTTTTCTATCCTCCTTGTAAATCTTTTCTTCATTAACTTTACTTGCATTTTTCCCGGAAGAACTGGTCTCCATAAATTTACCATCACTTCCAGCAGAGTTATGATTGATTTCCTTGTCTTCTCTTCTGCCACTTAGACCAAGTTCCTTGGTGCCTGTTTTTCTGCGATCCGATGGAATCCCAGTGGATGATGGGGTGGGATAAGCCTTGTTTTCAGTCGAAAGGATATCAGTATTTTGTTCACCAATAGGCGCAACTTCTGTCTGAGGAGCTGCAGTTTGGCCTTTCTTTGATGGAGGCAGATCTGGAGGCACTTCCAGACCAAGTTCTTTACCCAAAGATTCCAGAAAGTCACCCGCAATCAAACGGTTTAGTGTCGTATTAGCCACTTCAACTTTCTTTTTAGGATCTTCAGCTTGCTTGAGAGTTGATGTACTCTCTTCGTCCTCAGACTCATCAGAGAAAATAGCCTACAAAAAATTTACAGGACCAGGTCGTTAGAGAGAGGTCAGTATCATGTAAAACCAACAGTAGAAGTATGCAAAGCCGAATTTAACATTCAGGCAACCTATGAGTTCAGCCATGCGGGCAAAGAAATGATAGAGAATGCAGGCAAAGAAGTAGATACAGTTCACAAAGTATGACTTTAAAGAGCACAAGTTGTGGGATTGAAAAGAGAAAAAAAAAGTTTCTTCGTTTAAGAAATAGTATAAGGTTTGCTAAAACAATTGAAGCATGAAAGAGAGCATAGATATAGCTCACGGTCAGAGAGTGAGAGTTCCAGACATCCCCATAAACTCGAAGATGTCATTTTCCAAGGGAGAAGAGATAAACACGTTTTATGTATATTAATATTGAATTTGCAAAGAAAATTAAATCACTCCGGGGACAAAAGGCGCTAAGCAGAACCGTCTTGGCTCAACTTCAGGGTGGGTGTATAAAGATGAAGCTGATATATAAAAGGAAAAAAGGTTGAGCATCATATGCAAACCAGAAAGATCTTATATCCGATATCAAGAGGAGAGAAATAAAACTGGTTGATAGAGAGAGGAATAGAAAGAGTGAATACATGAAGAAAGGAAACATTTCGTACATATAGATTTTTCTGTTCCTGTTTATTTTGTATAAAGTAGCAGTGACAATATATGGCTCCTAATGGAAAAAAATGTCATGCAAGTTCCTCGCACCAGTTTTATTTTTCCCTTATAACAAAAAACTAATTTTGTTAAGAATAATAACAAGGGGAAACTAGACCCCCACATTTTCCTGGCAATTCTTTACAGAAATGTGCTTTCTGTGTAAATGTATAAAAAAAAGTATTGATAGGAAAAGAAAAAATGGCGATCGCCTATCCTTAAAAAACCAAGAAAGGAAAATTCTACGTCAGAGAACAAAAGAAGCACCTTATAGAGATCAACGGGCCGATCAACACATTCAACTTCCATTTCCTTTTCATTCACATTTCTGGATGCATCTTCGTCTTTTTCTTCAGCATTTGATTGAGGTGATGGAGTAAGGGTTGAGGTTAAAGGTTCTTCGACCTTTGTCGACTTGACAGAATTTGAAGTGAAAATAAGTGTATCCAACTTGCTCCTCATCCTAGGAGCTGGTGGTGGCTGCAAAAGATTTATTCAATATTTGTATAAGTTACACAATGAGACACGTACAATTCACACCATATCAGAAAACAGGGAATAAAAAGGACCAAGAAAAACCAATTCATGATCCAACGAATGAATATGTAGTTGAAACAAAGGACAGCATTGAAGTCACAAACTGATTTATTAGCTGGAGAGAATGGTCTTTTATCCACCAAAAGATAATAATAATAAGAGAATTTATTTTTAAATAAAGATTCCCTAAGCCACTGAGCAAGTTACTAGTTCGTAATGGTTTAAGGCTGCTGTTAATGTTTTTTAGAAAAAGAACAAATGAGAAGAACTTTTTAGGCTCCCAGACATGCACATTTGGAAACAAAAGAAGGAAAGCCAATGCAGCACCTTCCCCATGTAGGGATCAATGAGATCAAACCGCTTGCACAGAATAGGAGCAGGACGCCACTGATATTCTTCCCGTTTTGGGATCATTTTCTCCACAACTAAACCTTCTACTTTCGGATCTTTCACTTCCTGTTGAGGTATTGTCAGTTAACAATGAAAACCCTGGGTCATAAATGCATAAGAAAGCACAACAGCACCTTGTACACACCTCTACACCACCAGAAGTAAACCGCATTCCTCCAGTAGCTAAAAAATCCACAAAGTGCTCAGCAGAAAGCTTAGATTCTTTCAACCCTTTCCCTTTCCCTTTCTCAATTGCCTCTGCAGCAGCCTCGAAGTCCAAGCGCTCACGTGCACGAGCAGCTTCTGACATGTTAATAGCTACAACTGGAGCAGCAGCGCGCAGGCCTCCTTGGTACTTTTCCTTTAAAAAAAGCTCAAATCTTTCTTGCTTTGCTGGATCATCCTCAAAAGGTTTGACGACCTCTGACATCCCACCCTAGAATTCATAATATTCAAGATATTACGAAAAATAAAAGTGAAATTAGTTAAATTAGCCATAAACTAAATATACAACGGTCAAACAAAATGAAGAACTGTTTCAAAAGAACAGTTACTGTAATTTTGATTCAAAATTCACAGTTTATCTGTAATGTAAAAATTTTCTTTTACAAACTTCAGTATATAATGGTATTTTCGTTATATTAACATGCAAGAAAGGGGAACAAAACTATAAATCCATAATAATTAGATGTCAAACTGGTGTGGGAGCTTCAAAGTGAAGATATGTTGGAATGAACAGTTTCCTAATTTCTAGAACTCAAGGACACAGTTGTACACCCTATAAAACAGATCTTGTTCAAGTAAGGTCACATGAAAACTTTCCTAATTAAACTACCCAAATTCTAGATTCACAGAAAGCAAATTAAGTCTTATTTTTTGCAAAGAAGGATATTTTTTTTTCTTGAACTGAATAGTATTCTTCGTAATACAACAGAAAACCCCACACTTCTTTTTTTCCTTTTCGGCAGGAAATTAGAAGTATGACGTATAAATATGCCTCTTCCTATGTTCCTTACATTGTAACTCAGCATTCTGGTCGAGTTTTTTTTTTTTTTTTTTTTTTT